CATACTTTTGGAGGCTGAGAAGTCTAAGATCAAGGTGCCCAACGATTTGGTGTCTGGTGAAGGGCTGCTTTCTTGTTCATAGATGGTTCATAGTGCCATCTCACTGTGTCCTCACAAGGTGGAAGCAACAAGGAGTCTCTCTGGGTCCTCTTCTACAAGGGCACTCATGCTATTCAAGAAGGCTCTAGTTACCACCTAAAAGTACCCCTCCTGATTCATCACCTTGATGTGGGTAGGATTTCCACCTGTGAATTCTGGAGGGACACAAACATTCAGATCCAACCACTACCTCTTCCTGAGATGATGAGAGATAAATAATTATGCTGGATATGAGGATAATTATTGTATACAATAACTCATCCAATATTCTTCCATGACATGTGCTTCTGAAAGCTGGCTTAGAGAACTTGTTTAAGAGTCTTTTAATACAGAAATAAAAAGACTTTCATGTTTTGGGGGAGAAAAGAAAAGGTGACTTTTGTGTGCTTCTTACTGCATATGTACAGCTTTGAATGGATTTATTATAGAACTCAAGAACAGAAGATTAAGAAATTAAGGATCATGATGCTTAAAATAGATACCACTATTTTTTTTTTCACTTTAAGCAAAGCAATCTGCCAGGCAGGTGAGATTTCTGAAATGGTGACAATGAAATATCCCAAAGCATGGGATGCTATTCCTCTGCCAGTAAATATTCCAAATGCACTTTTGATGAATATTTTAAATTTTATCCTAGCAACATGTAGATAAGCAGAATGAGAGAAGTGATCTGATGCCCTTTCCTGTTCAGGTGCCCATGTACATGAAGGATAAGGGTCTACTAGGCACTTAACAGCATTCTTAATCTTCAAAATTGAATCAGCACCCAGTTCTATGCTTTTTCTTTCAGGTTGCAGATTTTCTTTTGTTTTTGAAACCAGTGACAGCTAGGAGGGAAAAAAATCATCTTGGATATTTTTATAAGCTGTGTAATTGCTTTTCTTCCCTCATCAGATTAGTTATTTTCCCCTTGCATTTGCTATTAATGCCATTTAAAGAAAGGGGTTAAATCTAGTTGGAGTTTCAGTAAGATTAGTATGCAGAGTTGAAAAAAGTATAATCACAACTGCATGTATTTTGTATCAGAAATTGACCTCACATGTATGCAGACACCCTATTTCTTAGAAGGAAATGGTTGGTGTTTGCTTCTTGGAAATCCTGTAATACTTTGTTTACATATTTGCACCTCATGTTGTATTTATTTATGTCTATTTTTTATCAACCGTATTGTAAACTCCTTAAAGGCAATGGCTCTGGCTCTTTGTTTTTTCAACATCTCCAGCTATGCCTTGCTACCAGCAGTGGTTAGGTTTCTTTAATAAATTCAACACATGCAAAGGAATAATTATGTATGTCTGCTTTGCTAATGAGCTACCTATGTGGTTTGATTTGAGGGCTACCAAACTCATTGTCCTCAAATATTTTCTGAGTTGAAATTTCTTCATTTCATTTTCATCATTTTAGAGGTTTTTTTTTTTTTTTTTTCCTTTCAGAAAGCATCAAGTTTTACCTGGGAATTGAGCCTGGAGGGCATGGGACACAGACAGATGCATTTTGAATGGGGAAGGCTGGTGGGAAGAGTATGGAGTTGGGATGCTGCTGGCAGGGACAGTCCTACCCTGAGGGTACCTGGGGGAAGATGCTGCCGAAAGGCAGTAAGATACTATCAAAAGAGGTCTATTTTGCATCTTTCCTAAGATGAGCTATGGAGATTTTAAAAACATCAGGCAACTAAAAAATCTTGCCTGTTCAGTTTTTTCAGTTCAATCTAAGGCAAGAGTTTAGAACTGCCAAAACTTAATTAGACCCCTAAGTGCTCACCTACTTCTGTACACAACCTCAATGGCTGTGCTCAGCAATGCTGTAGACAGCTGTGGTCTTGCCAGGTGAGAGGTAACCTGTGAGGGTATTCATGCTCTTCTATGTCTGCATCAGCTCTTCATTCTGTACATACAAGGAATTTCCAAAAACATTCACTTCCCTTAAAATGCTCTAAAAGACTTCGGCAGGATGTCAACCTGGAGGGTGATCCCAAGGGACCATAACAATCATAGGGCTCTCCAAAGAGGAAGGAAGCTCTGGCAATACACTCAGAGGCAACGTGACCCAAGATACTTTCTCACCGTGTCCCCTCACCAACCTCTGCCATTGTTTTCAGAGTCCCTTAGTAAGCTAGCAAGGGGCTCAGATATAAAGAACTCACATTTATTGCTTCTGTTTTTATCCTTCAAAATATCTAAATTCAAGTGTCCAGAATCATACAAAGTAGGTGTTGTTAGACAACAACATGTTTCAGGACAGATACATCAAGAACAACGTGGCTTTTGGCAAATATATAACAATATTTTATGAACTTTTCTGATATAAGGCAGGATTTTTTTTGAGTACTGAAATCTAAAGCTGATCAAAAAATAGTTCAGTTTTCTCTTGGTGGTAGACATAGGAGAGGCAATGGGGCAGGTGGGGGCGGGGGGGGGGAGAGAGAGAGAGAGAGAGAGAGAGAGAGAGAGAGGAAGGGTGGGAGTCCCTGGGCATGGCTGCTGTATTTCAGGGTCTGTCAGCATTTCCATTACTGAAACCTCAGGGGGCTGTAATTTAATGTAACTATAAAAATTTACCCTCTGAATTTAAAGTTATCATCTTGCAATTTGCTTTGCTGATGTTTTACATTTTTTGAAGAGAGGAAAGGATGCATTTTCTTCCTGTGTTAAAATTAGAAGACAAACATAGAAAGCCTACTTTACTTGGTTATTTTTGAGAGACCATTGAAATAAGATAAAATAATATGGGCTTGAAGTTAAACCTTTTTCTGTTTCCATAGTTCTCTTTTATTTTAAAGTATTGTCTTCACCTACATCCTCTTCTTTGCCTTCCAGAATGTGTGTGTGTGTGTGTGTGTGTAACAGATTATCTTTTATATCATCTCTCTCTCTCTCTCTCTCTCTCTCTCTCTCTCTCTCTCTCTACCTCCTCTCCACTAAACAAACATTTGTTCCTATTTGTAAGCACTGTGCTTTGGGCTTAGAAGAACAAAGAATAAAATATTCTCTACTTACTAAATATCCTTTTTTTTCCTTAAATATTTGGTTTGTTTTATTTGTCTATATTAGGTTTAAACATTTTTAAGGGTAAAAACTAGCATTAAATGCATAAATATACTGAAAAGCAAAACATAACACGTGTCATAAAAAAACTTGTTAGTTTTGAAAACTGATGACTTTCTTTGGCATTACTAATTATCTCCCTTTAGCATTTCTTCCTTTATGCCCAACTGAGTGAGATTCACAAAACAACCCATACCAAGATGTGGTAAATAATATAATAATCCCTCAAAGATGTCCACATTCTAATCCTTGGAATCTATAAATGTGTTACCTTATATGGTAAAGGGATATGAAGGCTGCAGATGGAATTTAGGTTGCTGATCCACTGACCTTATAATAGAAGATTATCCTGCTTTGTCTGGATGGGCACAATGTAGTCACAAGCATCTAGTGCAATCACAAAAGCAGAAGAGGGAAGCAGAAGAGGAGACTGGAGGAATGTGACATAAAGATCTAACTCCATTGCTGGCTTTGAATATGGAAGCAGGGACCACAAGTCAAGAAAGTCTTAGCTATCTAGAAGGTAGAAAGGTCAAGGAAATGGATTCTCCCCTACAGCTTCCAACATCTTGATTTAGCCCAGTGAGACTCATCTTGGACTTCTGACTTCCAGAATTTTAAGATCATATTTTTTTTTGTTTTATATCACTGTTTGTGGTAATATGTTATAGTAGTAATAGGAAGCTAATATGCAAATGGAACACAGAACAGATCACCCTAATAGATTACTCAATTAATTCCCTTTCTGGTGGATCAGAGCCCTCAAATAGTCTTTCTGAGTTTACTGAGACTCTGTTCATTCCAAGTCCTCATTTGTATCCCTACCATTTCAAGTCCATACCATGGACTTCTCATTTCTCCTATCTTCTATTTTCCTCTCCAAAACTACCTTGTCTTCTTGTTTAGGGCTTCTTCTTACAGATGGAAAAACCTCTAATAAAAAGTCTTTTTTCAATGAAGAGGATTAACTTTTGTTCTATATGATCTGCATCATTCATGATCCAATCAGGAGACAGAAAACACAAAGTTATTCAAACAAGAAAGTCAAACATACAGAATTATTAACCTTAATCATAACATTCTTTAGTTCCACAGCCCAATAAACAAGCACAAAGAATTTGATGAAGTTGTAGACATTATTAATTTTATAAAATTTCAAGCCTTGAATACATATCTCTTCATTAATCCCTAGGACAAAATGGGAGGAATGCGAAGACTAATTCTGCCACATATCCAAATATGATAGTTCTGAGGAAAAGCAAGTGTGCAGTTGTTTGAATTGCAAGATGATCTAGCTGCTTTTTTTCATAGGATGGCATTTTAAATTGTATGAATGACTGACAGACTATGGTTATGCAGACTTAGGTATTTGGTAGACATTTTCTTAAAAATTAAGAACAAAATGAGCCTGTCACTCTGAGAAAAAAGTGAACATTTGTTACCAGTGATAAAATTCAAGCTTTCAAGAAGAGATTAGAATTTTGGAAAACTTTGAGCTTGACAGCTTCCCAATCCTTAAAGACTTTTCTAATGAAATTGATGGTGGTATTACAAATATGACTTTTTGATATTGTATGAAATGTGTCAGCATTTAGAAGAACTGATAACCCTGTGAATTAATGTTTTCTAAATGACCAATGTAAGCTGTCCCAAATCATTCCCAGGTCAAAGATCTATTTAGACTATGAGATAGACCAATAGATTTTAATGCAATAGAAGACATAATGTTCATTGATATGACTTCTGATTCCATACTGCAGATAACCTTTAAGGCACTACCACTTCTGAAGTTTTGTGTAGTATCAAAGAATTTCTACTCTTATTTGCAAGAGCTATTAATCTCTTTCTTTTTCCAAGGACTTACCTATGTGAGGACGAATTTTATTCATGTACTTCAGCCAACATGTCACAACAGCTTGAGTGCAGAAACAGGTATGGGAATCCAGCTGTCTTCCATGAAGTCAGACATTAAAGCAAATTGCAAAGAGAAAATAATACCAATCTTCTTACTAAATTATTTGTGAAAACATTGTTATTTTGAATAAAAACATTTTATATAGGTTAATATATAATCAATTTTATATTAATAAATATTTAAATGATTATCAATTAAAATTTCAAATATAGAAAATATTAATGGATAAAACTCACATGCATAAAACTCTTTGGGATAGCCAATGATTTTTAAAGATTATAAAGATCTCCTGAGGACAAAAGGTTGAGAACTGTTGACATAGGCAATAAATGGGCAGAAGTTGCAGACCTGGGCTTATGGCAGGAAAGTATTTGAAGATTGCAGCTGTCATGATCTCACTAGTAATTAGAAAAAAAATGAATGTTAAAATACCAGATAAAAACAATTTCTTGCCGCTCATATTGGCAAAAATTTTAAAATCTGATAGTTTCAAGAATGATGACAGTAGATAAAATTAAGTACTCTTATTAATCATTAGTAGAAGTTTGAGTGTGATCACTGGTAACAGCCAATTGGCAATCTCTTGTTTAATTGAAAATGTATTCGATAGCCCAGAAAAATCTACTCCTAATACTCTTGAGAATCTGTCACTCATGTGTTCATGGATAAATGGGCAAGGATGTCTATTATTATCTTCTTTGTAATAGGAAAACAAACCAACCAAGCCCTCAGTGATGGCTAAATACAACGTGGCACCTTCATGCACATTGAGACCCTGTATAACTGCTAAAATAAATGCACCAGAGCTCTAAGTGGATAAGGACCTTAAAAGAATCATATTGGTGAAAACAGAAAATTACAGAGTTACATGTTTGGCACAATATCATTTACATGAAAAATATGTGTTAGGTTGAACCACACGAAATTGCATTATTTAGGTAAAAAACAGTCAAATATCAGCAAATCTATATTATTCAAACTAAATACAAAGGAGTTTAAGAAATAGCCTTGAAGTGATTGCACTGAATTCCTTTTGGGAAGGAAATGGGCCTAACCGATGAAAGGTTCAACTTCATCTGCAATGATGAATTTTTTTAATAAAAAAGAAAGAACAAGAAAACATATCAAAGTTGTAAGTTGTAAATGGTGAATACTTGATGGTGGGTACTTGGATGTCTATTTTATTATTATGTACTAAAGACTTTAAAAAAAAAACTTGGAATTGTCCAAAAGAAGATGAAATGACTCAAAGACAGCATGCTTCCCATTACTTCAATGTCCAGGGTGTTGGAGGGGACATTAAAATTTCCCATGGAGGGACTTCCAGGAACCCAGTGACTTTGCCCAAAAGAGTAAATGTGCTTTCAGCAGCTTCAGATCTTGTGGCAACCTGTTGTGGTGGAGAAAAGGCATGGGGATCATGGATTTTTTTTAGAGCCCTATAAATCTCAGTACAAAATCAGATCCATTATAGACTGACTTCTAGGTACTTGGTAAAGGAAGATTTTTTTTTTAAACAGAATTTTTTGAGCAGAGCTAAAAATACTGACCTCCATCCAGCTACTCTTAATAGAATCCCTTTGGATATTTTTCCCAATCACTGTGAAAGTTAGCAAGGTCAACTAAACATACATAGAATGAACTTCAAATATACCGATTATAGTTAAAAGGTAGCATGTAATCTCATGTATAACAAGTATCATCTTTAAATTGTATTCATATTTTTGTCTGTTTTAAATTGCTTTCAAAGTAGAATTTTTAGTGGGAACCTCACAAGATAGAAAATGAAGGGTACTATCTGTAAACATTTTAGTCTTGTAAGCAGATATTATTTGCAGAGGTCTGTTGTGTAGGGAAGAAGAGATGATTTGTACATGTTTGAAAAAAATTTCAGTCTGTGTGGTTAGAGCTCAATCACATGAAACTCCCACCAAAAATACCATAGAAGCAACAAACTTGGGCCTTGACAGTGATGACTGGAGAGAGCTCTAAAGTCATCGTGGAGAGATTGTACAAGGCACTTGGCAGGGAAGGGCTTCTCCCTAGAGGCATGTCCCCCAGAGGCCTGAAAAGGGAGATGATCCAATTTACCCATGTGAAGGATGGCTTCCTCTGGGACTTGTGATTTTCTGCTGAGTCTGGAGGTTAATTCTGGAAGAATGGATTGAGCTAGCAACAGAGGGTGATTCATGGCCCTGGCTTGACTCTTGCAAATGAGTCGGGAAATATGAGGAGTGTGAAATATAGCAGGCGGTGGCTAAATAGTTCAGGGATAGTTATTGTTATTAGAATGTGTGAGGCAGTCTTCTTCTATTTATAGCCTGCCGTGCTGAGCCTCTGCTAAACTCCCACCTCCACCAAAAGAACTCAACGTGACATCAGGCTGAAGAGCTGCTTGTCTAGGTGAAATTACTAGGGAATTCCAATGGAACTTCAAATTATTCACATTCAATGACATTTTCTCATGAAAAATGTAGGACTGCTTATAGCCAGCTGTCAGACAGACAGTGACATTAAAATGTGCCCGAGGAGGCCTCGGGTACTTTGGGGTTTTATTTCTCTAGGTCAGATCAAAGTAGATTCTTTAGTAGGTCTCTGCCTTTTTCTCACGCTGACCCAGGTCAAACTGGCCTCAATGAACTGGCTTCTGTAAGGCACCCGTCGAATCTTTTCTCATTCTTGATTAATCTCCGTCTTCTTGGCTTGGCATTCACATGGTTTACTTGTTCTCTAATTAGTTCATTCATTCAGTTTCATATGTACTGGGTAGCAGGCGAGGGGTTAAAAATAAAACTTGTCTTCAGAAAACTTTACATCTAGTGAAGGAGAAAACACACACCCTTAAATAGTCTTAACATGGAATGAAATGACACAGGCTATATCAGCCAAGAGCAGAGAGTTGGTTGAAGGGTGATGTTCAGGTAGTAGTATGTGAAAGAGGGAAGAAGCAAGACATGGAAGAGAGATGTATGGAATTTTTGTAGCAGAAGCCATACTCACAGGACAAAGGTATGAGCACTCTGACCAGATTTATGGTTTGGTGTTCCTTTAGATTGATGTTTTTAAATATTGCTCAATATTTGTTGGATGGAGAGAATATAACCCCCACATATTCCTCTTTATTGGCCCATGTCGTTGGGTTCTGGCCTCAGGTTTATATACCCTATTTAGCAGGTAAAAACTCTGAGTTTACCTGAACCCACTCTCCTTGGAAGGCAGTCTAGCTACCTACCATCTGTGGTTATTCACACTTACCTCTGCCAATCTTCCCCACTCCTAAGTGGCTTTATTAAATTATTCCTCCCTAACACCTACAGTGCGGTTTCTGAATGGAGGCCTAGTAAACACAGTTTGCTCCATTTCATTATATTTTTGAGCCTAGCTAGGGTAGTTGCCATCTGGCCCTCTCCTTAATCTAGCTCTGGGAAATAGCAATATCCTGAGCAAAGGTTTGGAGGCTGGAGAGCTTGAAGATGACATCCCAGAATGTGAAGCACCATCTGCAGCAGAGAAGTGTGAGAAATGGTGCAGAGGAAGAGGCATCCGCTTGGAGAGCCTCTGCAGGCTAATCTAAGAGAACTGGCATCGGTTTAGTGAGTCATAGTAAGGCACTTAGGGATTATGAGCCAGGATTATGATTTATATAATCAGATTTATATTTTTGAAATTCCTTTTGGGTTAATAAAGAGAAATAGTGGATTTAAAAATGTATAAAGGTTAGACACTTTCAGCATAATTTTTCTTTGTACATTTCTATGTTTTAAAAAATTTGTATAATCACTCATAGGTCATTATTATGGTTAGTATTTTGGTCTGTTTCCATGAATTTCTATTTCTTTGTGTGTGTGTGTGTGTGTGTTTATATGGTAGAAATTACACTGTATATATAATTTGCCAGTTTTTATACGTAATATAACAATATTAATATCTCATATTATTAAAAATCACTTTATAAACATAGTCTCAATTTGTTGTAAAATATTATGGAAATAGTATTATTTCCTGAATCATTTTTCTATTGCTGAACATTCGGGTTATTATCCATTTATCTATTTTTAAGTAGTGTTATAATTATTTTATTAAGATTCATTTGGCAACAATTTGATTTGGAGAAGGAGGTTATGTTGCACAAATAACAAATGGTTGGAAGTGAGAGCCCAAGACAGGAAGAAACTGTACTGATTCAAGGTCTAACTGGACAATGGTGAAGAAAAGGTAAGGAGATCCATTGGGTTATTGTTATGTTCCCAAGGTTTGATTTTCTTAAAGTTACACCAGGTTTTCCTCCTCTTCCTCACCTATGGAGCCCTCAACTTGTGTTTGTTTAATGAACCAATGAGTAAATGAAGGTGAGGCTTTGCTGCTGTTGTTGTTGCCAAAGACCACCACACCACATCCACGCTAAACATCCTGGCTCATATAATCTCCCCGAAGAATACTGTCCAGTCTCAACGTGCCAATTCCCTCTGATGTGTCTGATGGATTTGTTCATTATCTTCATAAGCAGAACACCCATGAAAACAAAGAGTGGTCAGCAAAGAAGGTAATATATTTAGGACTTAATATATTTAGTTTCATCTTTTAAATAAAGTTTCTTATTTACTTCTGGCCAATGTTGTAGCCATTTGCAAAAAAGTCTTATAATATGCTCAGCTCTGTGCTTGCTGCTGGGGCAACTAAGTTGTAGATTCTGCCTCAGGCAAGTAAATTTTAAACTTTAGTTGAGAAATAAAAAAATGATACCCAATAGTAAAAAGAATACGATAGAGTTATGTTTATTCGAGAATGCATTTACTACCTGCTGAAGCTCAGGGAAAAAGGATAAGAAAATGGGAGAGAAACATTAGTGAACACACTAGAAGGCAAAGCCGATTTTATGAACTAAATTGAATTTCTGACAGTTGTGATTTTGTTTAACTCTGCAAAATGGAGGCAGGCAACAGCTGGTCCCCACTTGCTGTGTAGTGGATCTTTTTTTACTTTCTTATGATAAATGGGGATCCCTAAACTCATTTAACCAGTGCCTCCCCACCATATTCTCAGCTGAGCTCTGACCTGCATAGACAACCTCAGAGACAGGCAGACCTGCTATAATACATGCGAATAATCAATATTTTCTGGTATGATGACCTCACTCTGGGAAATAATGCTTATGAGTTAATAGAGCTAATGAGAATATATTAACTATTGGTTTAGTGAAAGTGATAGCAAAGTAATCTAATTCCTACTGGCTCCTGGATAACCTTCAATTTAAAGGTAATGACATTACGGAATGTTAAACCAAATATACTCAAGTGTACATGGTATGTACTCACTAGTCGGGATAGGCGATTATCATAAAGTCTTAGTTATGATTCTTGAGAGAAGAGCCTTTTCACATGGGTTTCATGATAGAGGTTAGGAATTCTGTGGAGTTGAATTAAAAAGACAGTACACCTTTTTTTTTTTTTTTTTTTTTTTACCAATCTCTAATGAAATTTAGCAGTTTCTCATTATAAATATAGGCCACTAATTATAGTAGAATTTGCAGTATTCTCTTTGGTCAATCATAATAGAAATTACAGATGTTTTTGTGTTTATCAGGCCTACATCTTGTTACTTGATGCAGTAAAAACGAAAAATTATATTACTATGTCTTTAAATTGTTTTAAAATATTTTTGTATTAGCATTTAAATATAATTTGTTCCTTTTGTATATGTTTTAATTTTATACTTTAAAAAATATGACCATGAGAAGGCATCATAGACTTTGCCTGACTGTAAAAGGACCTGCTTATGAAAAGGTTAGGGACCCTTGCTTAGCATAAGGAAGTTGGAGCCTTCCCCACCCCATGGAAATGTTGCTATTTGCAATACAAATTCTTCCTATTTTTTTCTCACACAGGGGATCCCACTAGTCCCTTTCTATGGGGGAGAACTTGGACTGGTTCTGCTGTCAGTTTACACAGTGAGATCTTCACCATATGTAACTCTCGAGGCTGGAGAGATGACACGCCGCCAAAATGGTTGGGAAACATGGAGAAGTGGTGAGCTCTGGCTGGACCACCCTATAAGGAGAGGTGACTTCTGCAAAGTGGTATTCTGCTGCAGGCTGCTGCTCTGCGTCCTTGGCTAGGCTGCCCCTGGACACTTACATAATATTAACAACATTAAAAAAAGTAAACTGACAAAACTCAGAGATGCATGAACCTCCTCTTCTTCCAATTATTTGGCTTGGTGGAGGGATGGTAGCAGAAAAGAAAAGGAAAAAACCATGGTCACTCCTAATGGTCATTTCGCCTCCAAACCTGAGTCCTACTTGATAGTGTGTTCTTGGGTAATACATCCTCTCTTGTCTATGGGTTCCCCAGTTTTCAAATGAGGCCAGTTCTGATCCTGACTATGTCCTGAGGTTAGTAAAGGTGGAGCAGTTCTTCGGGGATCAAGTTTTGTTCTAGTGGCTCTGACAGTCCAGGACTGTGAGAAGAGGAATGAAGAGAATGGGTAGAATATAGCATCTCGGGGGCCTCTCGAAGGCAGACTTGCAGTGTGGCTGTGTCTGCCATAAGGAGAGCAGAGGAGGTTCTCTTGGGCACTGGCTTTCTTGGATCATCAAAAGTGGAAGTTGAACAGTGTCATCAGTGAGGAAGTGCAGATGCTGCTATACAGAGACCTTTGGAAGCCAGCTCTTCATGGTCACATTCTTGGGTAGATACTGTAACTGTCAGAGAGTAGGAGTAGGTTATTTGGGCTCAAGAATGAGTCTGGTTCAAATGGTCATTGTCTTCCATAAAGGCTGACTTCACTTTCTATAGCCCTTATCCTTTTTTATTTACTTTTATCTTTCACATTACTTTTGCTTACTTTAAACATTGCTTGTTCTCATGTGCTGAGCTCTGAGAATGAAAATAAGGCTCATGGATAAGATTTTTGTGGCCTAAGTTGGGAAAGTAGAAAAGGTGCAGAGGAAAAATATGCATTTCAAGTGTAAGTGCCTGGTTTATTGGGGATAATCGTGAAAATGTGTGGCTTCTCAAACTGCTTATCAGTTTCTTCCAAGTTGTCTTATAGTAACCTGCTTCATAGAGACCCCTTGATACAGCATAAATTGTAGTGATTTGAGTGAATGGCTTCAGTACTCTCCAGAATCTGAAGCCCACCCTCTCTCCCAGAACTTGGAATTCTTTGGAATTCCAAGAGAGAGAAATGCTTGTGAACTCATGTGCCAATAAAAGTGTAATCAAAATTACTCTATTAAAACTTCCTCAGTTGCATGGGACTCTACCTAAAGTAGTTTGTTCTTACAGTACAAAGGCTTTCATTTAACAGAATGTTTTGTTGGTTGAAAGTGTTGTATAATATGTTTTTAGAAGGAAAAGATAAATGCTAATGAGGTAGCTATTGGAAATTTGTTCAAGAAACAAACTTTCATGAAATGGTTTGAGATTAGTAGAAAATCTGCCTACTCTCCTATACCTGCTATCAGTTTATGACTATGATTAATATCCAGGAATGATCTAAGACATATAAAACCTCAAATCACAAAAGACACAGAAAAATTTGAGAAGAACAAAGTTTGGATCTCATTTTTTTTTTTTTTTTGCTTACCCCTCGTTATCAAATCTCATATTGAACATGTTGAGTAATTGAAGTTTTACTCTTCCTTAGAAAGAGAGCCAAATTTTGCTGAGTTAGCTACTTGAAGGGAATGGCATTGACCTCCTATTTAGCAACTAAGACACTATGTTTAAGCATTATTATATTCTTCAGGTTGTAAAATAAATTTAGATTTATTTACCAGTGTAGCTAAGGAATTGATGGCAACCTTATTCTAAGTGCATTTTATTTAAATACTCTGTAGAAGACAAGAAAATTATACTTAGGTAATATCCAATTGGCAAAAGGAAGAAATTTTATCATAGTTCTTTTTTCTTCAGAATGAAAAAGTTTATGAAGAGGAAACTTGAAAGTGAAGCAAATGTTATATGATTTTAAGGATCTGACCTTTATTGGCAGTGTGTGTGTGTGTGGGGGGGAGGGTAGGCAGCATTGAGGGGAGATTTTCTTTTTTCTCTTTCTTTCTTTTTTTGGCTGTTAGTACCTGTAATTCCAATGAACATTGTAGGATTTTTGGAACATAGCACTTTAATCACTGAATCTTGACCAGGAATAGTAAGAGAGATTTATTTATCATTTCATTTTACTTGAGAGGCTGAAGGAATATTATTCACAGTTCTGGACTTTCTTTTTTCCATCCATGTAACATCTATTTCAGACTTATTATTTTATGTCTGTGACAAGATGAATCATAAAATTAAATGCAAAATGTTCTTGTTTATACCTCTAGACAGAGAAACCAGTATTCAGCTCAGTGATAGAAGGTAATAAGCCTTATTCCTCTCTGCAAAATATCTAAAAGGGCTTATTTGCAAGTGCTTGCAAAAGTATGTACACCATCCTTGAAACGTTAAGTTTGGTGATTTAATAGAGACTTGAAGTTTATGAACAATATGAAGAGAGGCACAAGATGTAAAAAATTACATGAATTGTTGCAACTGCACTTGAAACTTTAGAACTCCAATTAGATCTGATCACACATTCTGACTTATGCTTTCTATATCAGTCATCCAGAAAACTGAGCTAGGATTTTATTCCATAGTATCCTGGCTATGTCCTTGCTCTTTAGGTTGTCCTTCTGTGTCTGAAAGTTCTTATTGTTCTTTTTGCCTCCTTTGGAAATCAACAATTTCCTACCCTCTTTAAATCAAGTGAGGAAAACCAAATGAAGTTTTATAAAAATGTTGACTTCCCATTCATTTACCAAATGCCTACCAATGGGCCAAATGCTGATCTTCATCCTGAGGATGTAGTAGTGAACAAAATGGGTATAATTCCTGTCTGTGTTGGACTTATGTTCCACTTTGGAAGCAGATGCTAACTCAATGAAAACTTATAAAATTTAAAATTGTTTCAAGATCAATGGTGAAAAGCAAAAGATATCAAAGCTTAAAATTAATATTGGTCTTGGACAGATCTTTTTGAGAAGGTCTAAAATGACTTGAAGGATAAATAAGAGTTGGAGAGTGAAATGGAGAGGTGGTTGTTCCAGGCATGTAGCAACAGAGTGTGAAGTCTCTGAGGAGGGAAAGACCTGGAATAGTTGAGGGAATGGAAAGGTGGTGATGGTTGCAGCATCGTGTCTTCTGGGAGGAAAGTGTATTGGGACAAGTTTGGAGGTACGGGCAGGGGTCAATAGGGTGCCAGACCTATGCTTTACTTGAAGAATTATAGGTTTTATCCTACTCTACATGCACACACACACACACCCCACATAACACACATAACTGATTGGTCCTTTTTTTTCTAGACAATCCTGACCAATACATCATGACACTGAATGCTTTTTTCTTTTCTTCTTATTCTTTTCTTGTGGTACCAGGGTATTCTGCATATTAGACAAGCACTCCACTGCTGAACCCACAGCCACTGAAAGCTTTTAAGGCAGAGAATAACATAATTGGATTTAAGTAGCCAAAGACCACCTTTATCTGTGAGAAAAATCAATTGGAGAAGGAGGCAAAAATGGATGATGGAGTAATACTATTTTAGTTCAGGACAAGATCACAGTAGCTTGGACTCCAGGCATAGGATCAAAGAAGAGCAGATGTTAGCAGGTTGCAGATATATTTTGTTGGTGAAATAAATGAAACTTGGAAATGGCTTGGATGAGAAGATGAGGGAGAAAGAAGTAATGAGTTTGATTACTAGATTTTTGGCTAGTACAATCGGTGGAATGAAGAAGATATCATTAACTTAGATAGGGAGGGCTGGAGTTGGAGCAAATTAGAGAGGAAAATCAAGATTTAATTTTGTATATATTATGATTGAATGTTTTTGAAGCACTAGAGTGGAGATGTTAAAGAGTTATTTACATGTAATGGTCTCTGATTAGAGATATGAGTTGAAAATTTATTGCCACATAAAACCATGTGAGTGTACAAGGTATCAGTGAAGGTATATACTGAAAAGAGGGATAACTGGGTCAAATGGTGGTTCCATTCCAAGTTTTCTGAGGAATCTCCACACTGCTTTTCAGAGTGGTTGCCATCAATTTGTACTCCCACCAGCAATGTATGAATGTATCTTTTTCCTCACATATTTGGCAACATTGTTACTTATATTCTTGATAATTGCCATTCTGACAAATGAGATAGAATCTCAGTGTAGTTTTAATTTGCATTTCTGTGAATGGTAAAGATGTTGAACATTTTTACATATATTTATTGACCGATTATATTTCTTCTTCTGTGAAGCATCTGTTCAGTTCATTTGCCTGTTTATTGAGTTATTTACCCAAAGGAGTTAAAATCAGCATACTACAGTGATGCAGCCACATCAATGTTTATACTAGCTTAATTCATAATAGCTAAACTATGGAACCAACCTAGGTGCCCTTCAATAGAAGAATGGATAAAGAAAATGTATATATACACAATGGAATATTACTCAGCCATAAAGAAGAATAACTTTATGACATTTGCCAGCAAATGGATGGATCTGGAGACTGTCATGCTAAATCAAGTAAACCAATCCCCCAAAAGCAAAGGTTGAATGTTATCTCTGATGGGTGGAAGCTAACCTACAATAAGGGGGTGGGGTCAGAGGAAGAATAGAAGTGCAGTAAATCAGACAATGGAAAATGGAGGGAAGGGAGAGGGGATAAGCAAAGGAAGGACAGTGGAATGAATCTGACATAGTTTTCCTATGCGCATATAGGAAAACAGTACAGTGAATCCCACCACAATGGACATCCCTAAGAATGGGACTCTAACTGGAATAAGATGTATTCTATGCTTGGATAATTACATCAGAATGGATTCTGCTGTCATATTTAACTAAAAAGAACCAATAAAAAACTGGAAAAAAAAGAGGTTAATGAGGGAAAAAAAGATTTTACTAAGAAATAGCATTTGGTAGAGAAAGAAGAAACCCAGAGACTGAGCTGTAAAAACTAAAATTTAAACACCTCATAGAGGTGGTTCTGTTAATGAGTCTAAGAATTAAGTAAGAAAGATAAGAAAACATTCAGGCGAGGGTAGTGCTTCAAGAGAGACAGAAGAGAAGTTTCAAC